GGAGTATGGGGCATCCTGGGGCGGTATAGGGGGTATATGGGGCATCCTGGTGGTATATGGGGCACAGGGAGCATCCTGGGGCTGTATAGGGGGTGTATGGGGCATCCTGGGGGTGTATGGAACTGTATGGGACATCCTGGAGGTCTATGGGGACACAGAGGGCCACCTGGGGCTGTATAGGGGGTATAAGGGGCCTCCTGGGGGTATAAGGGGCCTCCTGGGGGTATATAGAAGGTATAAGGGGCCTCCTGGGGGTGTATAGAGGGTATATGGGGCATCCTGGGGGTGTATGGAACTGTATGGGACATCCTGGGAGTACATGGGGCACAGGGAGCATCCTCGGGCTGTATAGAGGGTATATGGGGCATCCTGGGGCTGTGTAGGGAGTATATGGGGCATTCTGGGGCTGTATAGGGGGTATATGGGGCAGTACGGGGCATCCTGGCACTGTATAGGGGCACATGGGGCATCCTGGGGGTACATGGGGCACAGGGAGCATCCCGGGGCTGTATAGGGGGTCTATGGGGCATCCCAGAGCTGTATAGATGGGATTTTTTTTCCTTGGGGTGTATGGAACTGTACGGGACATCCTGGGGGTACATGGGGCACAGGGAGCATCCTGGGGCTGTATAGAGGGTATATGGGGCATCCTGGGGCTGTATAGGGGGTATATGGGGCATCCTGAGGGTATATGGGGCATCCCAGGGCGGATTATGGGCTCCAGGGATCAGCCTGGGGCTGTATAGGGGGTCTATGGGGCATCGCGGGGCTGTATAGGGAGTATATGGGGCAGTATGGGGCTTCCTGGGGCTGTATAGGGGCACATGGGGCATCCTGGGGGTACATGGGGCACAGGGAGCATCCCAGGGCTGTATAGGGGGTCTATGGGGCATCCCAGAGCTGTATAGGGGCACACAGAGTATCCTGGGGGCACAGGGGGCATCCCGGGGCTGTATAGGGGGTCTATGGGGCATCCCGGGGCTGTATAGGGAGTATATGGGTCAGTATGGGGCTTCCTGGGGCTGTATAGGGGCACATGGGGCATCCTGGGGGTACATGGGGC